ACTTGGAATGATTCATTGATGCAAGTCAACGCGCGGAATTTATGCAGGAAATCGAACTTCTCAATGAAATCGATGGGGCATTCATAGCGAATCTCCTCCTTAACAAAGCCGACGCGTGAGTCCGTCACCCCCATATGAAGCAATTCTCGAGGAAGCTCACTGGACTTCGGAAACATCCTCTAAGCTCCAACGAAATAATGCTCTGTAACTTCAATAGCACTCCGAGCTCCAGAACTCGTAAACTGACAACAAAGAACCCCGCACTATCGATTTGCTTCTCACCGACATCAATCCAGACTTCTTATCTAGCACGAGCTTCCGTAGTCACGTCGGCAGGACACCATTCGAGACGAGAACAAGCGCTGCGAGATGCTTCGACTTCGGGTCAAGACGAGGGGCGAGCAGACCGCCTGTAATTCGAGGGATACTTTCCAATTCCACGATTCATCTTCCTGTCCATCGAGCCAAGGGTCACCCGAAGAAGCCCTGAGTTAGCTCCCCTAAGGATAATTTTCAAGGGAAATCAGCTAAAAACTCTCGATTAGCGGGGAAATCTTCGATTCTCTGCGGGTCGTCTGTGGTATATCTAGGTTCGGATTCTTGTTTGTCGATGACCTGTTGAACATACTGAATATACATATCGGCGGCTTGAGTGTACGGCAGGCATAATGTTCTGTACACAGATAGTCCAATGTACACACGACCGTGCTCATTGGCCTTTGGACGCATGATTAGAAACATGTAGTTTGCTCGGGAACGTTGTTCTCTGTATCGGGAGGGTTCGTTGCCACGACGTCGAACCACTGATGCCGCGTCATCGGATTTCCAAGTTAGCCGCGTGATGCTCATAGCTTGTTTAGAAGATTATCCGTCCCGCTCCCGACACCCCGAGCATCCCATCGCTTCTCCTCCCGCCCGTCTTGGGGCCAAAGTCGACAATAATATATTTTGACGGAAAGTGGATCCGACGAAAACGTTCTACACCGACGGGTATAAGCGGTGAACTAATATACGAAGGCGTCCAGGAGCTGAGAATCGCGCGATCTTCGACGACGAGTCGCGCGTTTGCCGCACGGAACAGCAGCGCAAGAGGAAGCTATTGGGGTAAGTGGGCAGGAGAAGGTGGCTGTTGCGTTTTTTTTTCTGAGAGACGAGTCTGAGGCGTCAGACAGGTTTATGGAACGAAAGAGAAGAGACGCGCGCGGTCGAAAATTCCGAGATCCCCGACCGTCTAAGCAAACGCCTCGTTTCTCCTCCCTCTTCGTCTCGCAATAGAAGAAACCGCAGAAGACAAGAAAAAAGAACGAGGTAGCACCGACCTGTTCGAGAGACGTCTCGTTCACCGAGCTGTCTCTCTCCCCGTCGTGGAGCGTTCCCCGAGCGGGCTATAGCGCAGAGAATACGGTAGAGTGCGGCGAATCGGACCGGCTGGGTTTGTTTCGCTGGGACTAACCTGCTCAACGCTCAGAGGTCCACTAGACGCCCATCTGGACGGCTCATGCTAAGTTGCGGTCGCCGCGGTCGTCGGTTCACTGAGAGACGGCTCGTTATAGAGTTATGGCTTTTTAGGGATTCCCCTCGGCATGGGCACCCTTTCTTCATGGCTCGGCTTGTTCAGCCGCCGCCGCGCAGAAACTCGTCTCTTCAAGCGCTCGTCCATAAACGTTAGCGTTGTTTCCTTAGCGCTGCCTTGAACTCCATCAATCTTCGTTCGGAATTTCGGCTCGTTCACATGTGCTTTGAGGAAACCCTACCCAAGGGACAGGAGACCGAATTCACTTTTATTTATTGGCCCAGTATGTACGCCCAGACAGTCGACTTCTGGAAGCTTGGATGAAACCGATCGATTCAGGAGTATCCAAAGGCGGCGGACGCTGGTGCCGCTTCGTGCAAGGTGACCAGGCACATCGAAAATCCTCACGCACAAGTTTAGCCGCGGCATAAGGTACCGAGGTGGGCGGAGAGGGGGGGGGATAGTGCTCGATTGAGTTCCCGATTCACGTTCACTGTGATTTCGGCTTTGACGTCGGCGTGTCGTCAACGGCAATGCTCCGTACAATGGCATCACAGATGGATGGCGCCAGATGAAACGTGCCACGGGGTTATATTCAACCTGTCGTTAGCGGATCCATTGTCGTTGGCTGTTACACAAACACTCGCTATGTGACAGACGATCTCGCATGGGAATCAATTTAGAGCGTGTTGTGTATACACCGCCCCTTGGTGGGGTACCTCACGTCTGGGTCGGAGGGAAAGGTGCCCTATAGGAGAAGGTTCTCGTTCCCAATGGCCGCTGAAATTCGGAACTGCACTCATAGACGGATCCGGCCGGGTTCGACGGATGTTCTATATACATACATCCAGACTATCAGCTTTTGATGCATCGATTGCTCGAAGATCGAGCTCGTTCCGGGAGAGGGGCATTGAAATCAACTCTTTCCGCCTCTTATCTGCTTCGCAATGACCTCGGGTATCTCTACCTACAGCACGGAGCCGGGATATTTTTCCCTTCTGAATTAATAGGGAAGGCCCGCAGACTTGACTATCTTGACTTTTGCTCAATTATTTACGTAAGCATACGATTTCGAATTCATAGACGAGACTCGGGTTTGGATCTATGCGTTTTTCACCGATGCGTAATTATTACAAAACGTGAATCCTGCCATCCCCTCGACCGCGAGTTCAAGCACTACTTGGTCCATTTGAACTGCGTCGTCTCGGAGACCTGCGGATCCCGATATCCATTATAGGAGTTTTATCGGAATTCCGGATAACCGGCGAGACGGAGACGGATTAGAGTCACGCTCGTCGTCTATGAGGACGAGAGAGGCAGCTTGGATGTTTCGCAATCGTTTATCGACCCAGGACATTCTCCACACGGTTTTTCGGTACGCTCGATTCGGTTCGTTTCAATCGATTGGATGCTCGGGGAAAGATCGTGACTAGAATACGCTCTCGATGAATCTCTGGAAGATTGTTAAAACTCCCGAACACCATGGGGTGTCCTCCACCGTCACGTGGCATGCCTCCCGGCACTCAAGAACCCAGGCCCTGATTTTTATCTCGCAGATTAAAAATCCATAAAACTAGTGTCAGGAAGAAGTTCTAGCCGAACTTCTCATCCTCACGTAAGAAGCGGTTAAGAGCAGCTCAACGTAGCTCCTCGCTGCGGAGCCGAGACGTTACGTAGGTTGGCGGGGAATAATGGGGGATACCACGAGGTCCCCGTTAGCAGCTCCCGAACGGTGGCAGAGTGTAAGCGCGCCAACTCCAGGGGGTTTGCGTAAGGAGTTTGCGTCAGCTGTACGGCATCTGCCTTGAATCCCACCTACCTGCCCCACTCCTGTCATGATCTTACACGCCTGACTCCGGCCTCAACTCGCGCCCGTTCAACTTGCGGCGCTCGGGTTCTCCCTCCGCAGCCATCCGACCTTTCGACGGCGTGCTTGGAAGCGTCGACCGGCTCAAGACTCCTATTCGAGGTCGCCTTGGTCGCCGTCTTTCATTTCTTCGTCGTTCGTATGCGCCCACAGCCATTCCGCGCGCGCGGTTTCAGTTTTAAGCTAAGTGTCTCGCTTAGGGGTTCGGAGGAGGGGCTCGGAGAGGCTTTCCCGACCGCGCTCGCTCGCTTCTGTTGCAAGAGAAGCCTTCTGACGTTCAGAGGCAATTTTTCAGAAGAGCTCGCGTTGCTCCGAACCGCCCGCTCTCCCCCGCCCCGAACGGCAGCTGTGCGGCACGCCGCCACATAGCTAAATACATTGAATTTTTCTGTCCGGTTAGTTAGGTCTGCGTGGTTGGCTTGTGCGTCTCGCCTGACAACCCAGAAAAATGGGACCCTACTACATCCTCCCGAGCTCCCCTATCGGTACCTGCCGGGCCAAACTCCGGAGGGAAGATTGGAAGTAGTTGCCTTCTTATGCGTCTCGCCGAGCTTGTTCGTTATGGATGTCGTAGCCAGTAATGGCGCCATCTCGAGCCACGAAGTGAGCGGAGCTGTTGTAGGGGTCGGCCGGCGGGTACGCTGGAAGAAACGAGTGAGACTGGAACAGCGACGAGGAGAGAAGCAATAAATAAAAGACGTCAGCATTTATCTGACTGAGATGCCGACACCGCTTCTGGCACAGGAACTCAAATGCTGGATGATGGTTGCTGCCTGCTCGCCTTCCTGCGTCATGCGGATGAATGGCCAGGAACGAACCGTTTGGTTTTTGGAAGCAAATATGTCACTCGCCCCGAGGAGTCAGTTTCCTCATTCCGGCCAGGATAAGAATTCCAAGCATTTCTTCGCGTGTTGACGATGTCGACTGGCTTAAGGTTCCTTTTCTGGCCTGCCACCTCGTTGTCGTGCCTCTCGGTCCATGCGATCCCCCCAGTCGCCCACCGCCATCATCACCACCGTCTAACAGCTCGACCCGCGAGCTTCCCGAGCAAATGTTTCCGTCTACATGAAAATGTTGTCTGGATCAACGCGTGCCACGGAGAACGTGACGTAGCCGCACTTCGCGCTGAAGGGCGTCTTGCGACAGTGAGTCGGGGCGGGCTCCAGTGAGTCGGGGCGGGCTCCAGTGCAGGATTTGTGGCGCGTGAAGGAGCTCAAGCATCAGTGTGAAAAGAGAGCACACTTGTTCCAGATATGCATCGTGGTGAATAATACCTCGAACACACGGCGCGTGCCAGGCGGCTATGCTTGATGTATAACACAGATACCCGGCGTGAGCACCGAGAGCCCCTCCTGAATTATATATATGTACTAGCGCGACCCGCGCGCTGTGCCGCGCCCCTGTCCACCACTCGATAAAAATTCACCAAGAAAGAACAATTTATAAGGACAGACTACATAAGTCAAAGAATCCCTCACAAATGACAACGATTAAAAAAAAGCGACGGAAGAGGGACCTAGTCGTCATATGACCTATTCTAAACGATTAAATCGCAGAGCTTTTTTACGATGACGACAGCGCTCAAACGTTGTTTTACTTCTCTGACTGAGACGGTATATTTTAGGTGGGAATATCGAGCTCTTCGAATATCACATTTCCCTTGTTGCTTCTCCACCAATCTTCGAGCTCTCGTGTTCTCGAATTGGATCTTATTGGGAACTGGATGCTTGTATTCCCAGTTGAGGAGAGATTCTTCCTAGCTTTGAACTCTTTCACAGAGAGTTTTTGGAAATCCACGACTTGACCCTCACGATCATCAACTTTGTGTATCAGTGAGCCCCATAAGGTCAACGACACTATCTTCCTTGAATCATCCACGAGTAATATGTTTTGCCGATTTCGTATATCGCCCGCTTTCCCCGAGTATGAATGAATTTCCCCGACGTCGTAGATTATAGCCTGTAAATCTATCATCTTCCCCACCTCCGTATCTCTAATCTGATTTATCGTGAAGTACTTTTCAACCTTTTTGGGGAGATGACCTCCGTCGATCTGTCTCACTTCACTGATCTGAAAAATAGGTTTTTCGTGTTTCATATTCTAGGCACTTATCGAAAGAGAAAGAAAGTGTAGAAAAATCACCTTTCCCAGAAGCAATTCACACGTATGGTTCGTGACCTTGTACAGAGGATGCGAGGGCCTTTGTTTGAAATCACATATCTGATAGCAGTGCCCCGTTTGTATTTTTTCGAACATTTCGTGGCCGAGTTCCCCTGTCACCAGTACATTAATATCGGCTGTATTGTCCGCGAGAGTGAATGAAAAGAGGTTCCCATCGGTGTTATCCTTCTTGAAAGTTTTCATGTCGCTCTTAGTCATCACTCGTCCTTCGATTCTTCCACCGATTCGATCCAAACTAATGTCATTTAGTGGACGAATTTTTTTCGAAGAAGGATTCCCAATAGATTTCCCTCCGCCAGATTCGTCCCAAGACCTCTTTCGATTGCTAGGACCAGGGGATCCGTCGGCAGGGGACTCAGTCTCGCTTAGCAATCGGGATTCGTCCCTTGGATGAACTCTCTTTTGCTCTGACGGCGTATTTTGAGATCTCCTCCTAGGTTTTGGATTCTCGTCCTTCCCTGATGGCATTTCGGAGATTAAAGAAGAGTCCCGGGAAGCTTCGTTCTTCGATAGATAAACTGATACCAATGGATAATCTTTTTATAGCAGATCACTATGTATAGGCGCCAATTGACAATGTCAGCGACAGTCTCCAGTTTTTGGAGCGGAAGAAGAAATTCTGCGTTTGAGAATTCCTTCGGATATTATAGATACGCTACGGGGCAAGAGACACCTTAAGTGTCGTCGAAATAGTGCAGAATTGAGGACGCTGGGTGCTCCGATAAGAGCGCTAGGGGCGCAGATGCAAACGCTGGGAACGTAGAATGGAACCCCTGGAGAAGAAAACTGATCGACAAAGTGGATCGGGACTCATAGAGCGTCATGATCCGATTCCATTGAAGAAACGGAGGCTTTTCCGGAACCCTTGTTATTTGTTAGATCTTGTTGTTGGTACCACAATCAAATTTTCCATATTTTTCACTCATGCCTTGTTATTCTGTCTGGTTATTCATTATTTGTTCTGTCTGGTTATTCATCATCTGTTCTGTCTGGTGCGTCATTTGTCTGCTATTTGTTGGACATTATTTTCATATGAGTGCTTTTGCATAAACGATATTCTTTGTTTTCCCTTCAGGTGTGTAGACGAATAGATTCGATGGTTTTCCAACTCGAGAACAGGCCACGTACAGTTGTCCATGCGAAAAACACGGGTTTTCTAAGTTCAAGCCACAAACTTGCAGAGATTGACCTTGAGCCTTATTGATCGTCATTGCGAATGCGAGCCGTACGGGAAATTGCAACCTTCTGAACTCAAAAGGAACATCTGATGGGGTTAACGGAATCCGGGGCAGCAAAACATGCTCACCACCGAATTTACCAGACAAAATTGTCGCTTCAATAACATTTTTCGTGAGTTTCTTGACTGAGAGTCTCGTACCGTTACACAGTCTTGGGGGATGAATATTTCGAAGACAGATGATCGTCACTCCCTCTTTCAATCTGAGAAGATGCGGTGGCATGCCAGGTAAATCGAGCGAATTGAGGAACTCGGTCGGGTAATTGACGGCGTCATCTTGGTGCAACACGGTATCTATCGATTTGTATGTTTCTTCGCAACCTGGAATCTCTTCTTGAATGGATAAATTAATATCATCAACATCCCTGTTAGTGGGAGCCAAAATAGCTCGCGCGCTCAGCCATGTCCGGTTCGTATAGTTGACTGCGATTTGTGGGAAGACATTCTCAATCAAATCCTCCTTAGACGATGTCATCGTGCAAAAATCAACGGGCAGAGTCATTCTTGCAGATTCATCAGTTGGAATGTTTCCACACCCTATATCGAGTAACTGTTTCGCGAATTTCTCAGCCGACATATCGTCCTGTAGGCGCACACGCATGTTAGTCGTCAGTGTCAGCGTCTTCACATGCCGCCATAAGAAGGACAGTTTTAAGCACGCACTCAGTTCGTCAGCGGGTGTCGATCGTTGTATCACTGGCAGTGATTGACGGAAATCCCCAGATAAAAGTATCAGTGCTCCTCCAAATAGTTTTTCATTTCCTCTCAGGTCTCTCAATGAACGTTCTAAAGCTTCCAGTGCTTTTTTGTGTGCCATCGTACATTCATCCCATATAATAAGCTCACAAGTTTGGAGAACTTTTCCCATGCCCGACTTTTTAGTCACCTTACATGTGGGAGTATCAACTGTGTGCAAATTTAAAGGGAGCTTGAGAGCTGAATGTGCTGTTCGCCCTCCATCCAGGAGTGTTGCTGCTATACCAGATGAAGCCATTGCTAGTGCAAGCCTACCCTGAGATCGAATTCTCGCCAAGAGAAGCGATATAAGAAAGGTTTTTCCTGTCCCCCCTGGTGCATCTAGAAAATAGAACCCTCCTTCACGCATCCTAATTGCTTCCTCGAGCGTATCGTAAACATCACGTTGTTCCGGTAACAATTTCGGGAGATTGGTTTCCACGAATAAGGCTAAATCCTGAGCATTGTAGTTCCTTTCGCGGTCAATATCAGGATCAGAAATTCTATTTCCTGATCTATCAGGTGCGAACAATCCGAGTTGATTCAATCGTCGGTTCATAATGGATAAGCAGGAATCTTCGATTAAAATCAAGGCCTCATTGAACATGTTCAATGAAAACGGAAGATTAGGATCATGGATTTCTCGCCGCCGATCTCTCAGTATATCTTCGGTCAAATGATTTTTATATTTCTCCCAGAGATCTCGGGGATTCGATGGAGAACAGGTTGTCAATATAATAGCAAATAACGTACGTATTTGTTGCGGGTATGCGGTGTCCGCGGCTTCAGCCAATGTCAAATCCCAATGAGAATCGTTCTCCAGAAGTTTCAACGCCAAGCAAGCTTCCCTGTGAGTCTCATAGATCACGCCATCCACCGTTCTCAGGTCTTGGAAAGATTTCGGTCCTCGAACGTTTGAACCAACAACAGGCGAAGAAAGAAACATTCTTGATTATTCGGATGAACAGTATAAAGACGACCTAAAGCATCGCATGAAAACAAATCCAAATACCCCTCGACCGGTTTACCCTGCTTACGTCGTTTGAAACTCTTCGTCACTGTATTCCATGTGTAGTATCTCGGGACTTCCACATATAACAGAGAACTCGCGAATTCATCATTCGCACATAGCGCGAAGAAGGCAGTGAGGGTTGTTCGCGGCGGAGATAAAACTTCGGAATGAATGTTAGTTGCTGTGAAATACACGCGCTGTCCATTCTCCGGATGCACTGCCAAATGAACCACGGTTGGATATCTCTCATGAATGGGAAAAGAAAAGATGCGCCATATGGCTTCATTGCTGCTTATGTATCGTCCAATTTGGTATTGTTCGATCTCGTCAATCGGAGCTGAAGGATCTTCCATACCAAAAGCTGC